CTTCCACTGTCCCTTATCCACGATCTCCAACTCCTCAACCTCCCCTTCTCCTCCAGACCAAGAGCTGCCTTCTGTCTTCATTAGCTTCCTTACCTTAGACCACAGAGCCCTTCCTGACCTTCTCCACATCTGCCTTGGTCAACTCCAACTCAGGTTCCTATGACGCTGTTTCTCTGCTCTGGGACAGTCACAGAGCCACACAACTAGGGCCCACTCCAAATCCACACAACCCAAGGGGAAGTGGGTCCATCCTGTTGCTCTTTCCTCTATCAGATTTTTCCAAAGCTATCATTTTAAACCATTTCCATTTCCATTCTTCTTCAGTCTTCAACTCCACCCAACCTTCTTAGAAATGTACTATCTCCTGAGAAGACTGAAGCCATCTGTATTGAATGTCTATTTCCTGCCCCCATTAGACTGACGATCTCTGTTACTTCCTCCTAACTGCCCCGCTGTCTCAAATGTTGGATCTTTCCGCCCTTTCACATGTGCTCTTCAGCCAACTTCCCCCGTCTCAATAAGGACCCTGATTCCTATCATCCTTACACTTTCACTATCGCTTTTTGCTCTGCTTTCTTATCTTTTGTTTAAAAAACAAGCTGTATCTAAGCTCTCTTTCTTTTATGACCAGACTCCCAGAAAGGGCAGACTCCCACTCACAGGCCTGCACGTAAACCTAGCAATCCTCTCCCAAGCCCGACCTCCACGTTCTCAAGTCCTCTTAACTGCCAAGTCCAATGGCTTTTCCTGGCCTGCGTCCTTCTTGACTTTCCTGGGGCACCTAGACTCAACACATCAAAACTGAACTGAGTAGTCCTCTCTCCCCTGTCCCCACCATTGCTGACTGCTATTCCGTTTTTCCCAGTTACGCCAAAATCTCTTGGTCAACATTGCTTCAATTTAGTTATCAAGTCTCCTTCCTTTCACCCGGTCACGTCTGTGCCATTCAATTCCACCCTCTCTGTTGCCATGACAGATAAACAGCCTCCCTGTTTAACTCCATGTACTTCAGATAACACACTGCGCCAATCTCTCAGCCCCTCCCTTTTCACAGAACCACAATCGTCTAGCAAATAAAATTCAAATGTCTTAGCCTGAGGCTTAAGGCCCTCTAACAACTGGACCGAGTCTATATTTCTAGACCCCATGACCTTCCCATCTTCCATTTCATTTCATGTATTTCACATTTCCTCTGGACTCTGGGAGAATTCATAGTTCCCAGAAGCCTTCATTTTCTTACCTTTTTTTTCCCTGAAACAGGCCAGTTTATCCATGAGCAATGTCCAGCATTGTTTTTACTTATTGAAAAAAAAAAATTTTTTTTTTTTCCATTCAAGATGTGGTAGAGATGCCATCTTTTCCTATCGTTTTACGTTATTCATTCCTCCCCTGAACTTCCAGAGTTCAAATATGCTCATCTCTTTCTTGCTTCCTCTTACTTCATATTCTTTTAGGTTCTAGTTACCTGTGTACTAGCTGGCCTCTTTGTCCATATTAGATTTCAAGTTCTTGAGAACAGTGATGATGTTGATAATAATTGTAATAGTAACTACCACCACCATCACAAGCACCTACCATATTCCAGCTCTATGAAAGCATATAACTACATTTCAGCAACCCTTTGAGGACTGTTCCCACTTTCTGGTGTGATTAAGTAATGTGCCCAAGGCCAGCACTAAGGAGTGGTAGAGCCAGGAATTGAAGTTACGCTTGTCTGACTTTAAAAGCCATACTCTTAACTACTATGTGGTATTTCTCATCATCTATATACTTGACCAATAATCATGGAATAAGATATCCTCTCCATAAGCCCTAATAGGTGGGATAGTTGACTTAGCCAGGTTCCCCTGAGTGGCTGAGCCTACATGGTCAACAAATACATTTGTAAAGAGAAGAAACAGATAGCTTAGGCTCTAACTCTTAGGATGATTTCAAAAATGGAACAAAGTTTTTATGCCTCAAGACTAAACAGATTATCAGATGCAATGTGGTAGAAATATCTGTTTCACCTGGATTAGGGAATACCTTGACCTTGTCTCCTTCCTTGGAATCATTGATATCAGCAAGGCAATGAATCAAGGCCACTCCGAAAGTCCTACTTAGATCATTTAAACTACATTTAGAGAATGCCTTCAAAATTCTAACTTCTGAAACTCTGATATCAGCCATGCGAAAACATAATTGTACTGTGCTGGTATAGTCAGGACGAACGTAAATGTGGGGTCCTACTTTACACACACACAGGTAAATGGCATATGACACACACAAGTATCAGTGTAAAGTAAAACGGTGGTTGTTGCTCTCTACACGTAAGCGGCTAAGGCCTGTAATCCTCCAAGAGGAATGTCATTATACAGCTCAAATCCCATCACAACAAATACCGTTACAACAGAGATGTCTGTATAACAAAAACCCTTTCAGGCTTTGGCTGACAGCCCACGTACGTCAAGCAATATTTGATGTGAGCCTTGGAGTTCACAGTGATGGGAATTGACCTATCTTTCCAAAGGTAAGATTTGAATGATTTCATCTGTAACTTGTATCCCATGATACCATAGGTTGGCGTGATGTACAATCTAAACCCAGGAGCATAAAAACTAAACACAAAGACAGAAACAAATCAACCCTGCTCTTAAAGGGCAAAGTTCCATTCTGTTCACCTGGGGAACACTGCGGTCAAGGAGAAGGCCTCTCACCCAACCCTGAAATGAAGCAGAACAAGGCTGGTTTGTGACCTTACCTTAGGGAGAAGCAAGCTGGTGTACGGAGCACATGAAGATAGATGGGTTGTCCTCAAATTTCTACTCAACCTCTTTTTAGCTGCATAAACTGGGCTAACATTCCTCTGCAAAATGTGACTAATATCACTACTTTCAGGATTTCAGTAAGAACCAAAGAAGAGAACATATGTAAAATTTCTCACATAGGACTTGGCACAGAGCATGGGTTCCAAAAGCCCTTATCAGGTGAACCTTTTCCTCCAAGACTATGGGCTCATGCAAACTATTTTAGTGAAGTTAGTTACAAAAACCAGTGAAAGAAGGTAATGAAGTGTATGGTCTCAAATATACCCTGATGAAGAGATGCTTAGAGGAACATCAGGAAAAAAGAGAGAATATGATAGAAGAACTAAGCCATGCACAAGTACTCACTTGACTGAGAAAAAGGTCTTTCTGGCTAAAGTAATACATGTAGAATACAAAGTTAAATGCAAGGAACCAGGCATCATAGCAAGAAATGAGCGTTGAGCATTCTGCCAGAGGACATGTTGAAAAATGTGGAACTCGCTAAAATTTGGAGGCACATTTTCCTACCCAAGGATGAAGGGTGGCTATTGCTCTGAAGCACTGGTTTCCTGCCTGTGGCCTAGTTTCCTGTGGGTGTCATTCTGCACGGCAGGTAGGGGGGGCCTCACTTGCTAAGTCTAGTCCAGGGCATTATGCTGTCTTTCCTAAGGAGACTGTAGGGGTTAAGTATCAAAAACCTAATTCTAGTATTTTCCATTCGGGAAACGTGTAGGTAAACAGTGTAGGAATACGACTCAGAAAGGCTCTTTCAATGTTGTCCTAATTTGTGGTGGGTTTAATCCTTCTGTTTTATATACCTAATTTCCTATTTCTCAAGTTTAGGGACAACCAAGTATGTGGTGACAAAATTTCATGTATGTTCTTTTGAAAGTATGCTTGGTATTACTATACATGATTATATTTTGAGATAGGAAATGAGAGCCTCATGAACGTAATCAGAAGTTATGTCTGTTCACCTTTATAAAATACGTGTTAGCCTTTTAAATTTCTTAAAAGGTTCTAAAAAAGTCCTGTCAGATCTCTGCAACTATAGGGCACAAGAGATGACCCATTTCTCAGAGTCAGGACCATCAGCGTTTTCCTCATTACTCAGTCCCATCCCTTCACCTTTGACAGTAAGAAAGAGGCTCAGAGAAAAGCGTATGCTCATGTTCATGTGCTCACTAATGAGCTTGCAGGAGCTCTTGTGAGAGGCCACACAGAAATAAAATAACAGAGACAGGAAGGACACAGAGAAAAAGGAAATGCGGACTCACAGAAAGACAGAGGAGCCCTGGGCAGAAAGACCAAGAGATCAAGAACAGAGAAAGAACAAAATTCCTAAAGCAAGGTTAACCTATCAGCAGCGACCAAGTGGCAGCAGAGGAGTTAAATCCAGTCTGCACAGAGCTTGCAAAGGACGGTTCTCATGCACCTATGCTTCACATACACCGAAGCTTCAATGTGTGCAGAGGCTTCTGGCTTCTCTCTATTTTAACAACTGTCCCCCCCACCCTCCCAACATCACCCTCATCTTAAAATGGAGGCAGCAGAAACCACTGGATTGTACACGTGAGTCTCAGCCCTGGTAAGGGCGTAGACCACAAGCATTTGGAAGGTGTGCTAACTATCTCAGGCCACTAGGGTGTTACTTCCCGCGCCCCCAAAGGCATACTTCACCTAAAGATGCCCATCTAGACCCCAGTCATTGACATCCCTCCTAAAAGTGTGCCCTCTGTTCCTTAGGCCAGTGGGATCACACTAACTGTTTGTAAGGCATGTCAGGATCCCCACAGGCTACGGAAAAGTGAAATGCAATTGTAATTACAGGAGCAATCATGGGAAGGCAGGGGCAGCAAGAGTTACTCCTGAAATGCAAGACTGAGAAACATGATTCCTTAGAGAGGCAGGCACTCCACCAGGGAGGGGAGAGGAGCCTGTGCTGCCTAGAAAGTGACCTCCTCAGGAGGGAGAGCAATCACACGCCTGGACAGAGGCGCGGCCGCGCCCCTCCCTCCGCTCCTCCTCGCCTGCGTCCCAGGCCAGCGCCGTCCACCTGCCCGGGCGGCGGGCGGGGGCGCGGGGAGGAGCTCGGCTGGCCCAGGCTCAGGGGCAGCGGGCGGCTCCCACTCACAGCTCTCCCTCCTCCCTCCCGCGATGCCCAGGACGCCCCGCAAGGCCCCAGACCGCGCGCGAGCCTGCAGAGGACGGTACCTTTGCTCTGGGGAGGGTTCTGACTCCGGTCCCGGAGGACGTTGATCTGGTAGACGGCTCCATAAGGCTCAAAAAGTTCTTTCAGCTCCTTTTCCGACCAGGACCTGGGGATCTGCCCGACAAACATCTTAATGGCATCTGGGTCTGGCTGGTCGGAGTGATCCAAAGCGCCGTTCATCTTGTTGGCTGTGCCGTTACTGTCAAAAAAGGGAACCGGGAGCCAGAGTTAGGGCTGCAGGATGGTGAGGGACAGGAAGAAAAAAAATAGGGGGTGGGGTGGGGGCGGGGAGGGGGGGGCGGGCGGAGGAGGAGGAGGAGGAGGAGGAGGAGGAGGAGGAGGAGGAGGAGGAGGAGGAGGAGGAAGAGGAGCCTGGGGCAAAGTGCCTAATGAGTCCTAGACATTTGATGAACTAAAAACAAAGCGCAGGCACCATTGGGCTGCTCCTCGGCAGCAGGCAGGGCGCGGGCTCGCACTGCAGGCTGCTGCTGCTCAGCACCCAGCCCGAGCCCCGGGCAGCGCCCCGCTGCCGGCTGTCACCCGGGGCGTGGACATCTTGAAACCCAGCTAGGAGGCAGCTGCAAGTTAAGTGCAGGTCTCGTTCTGCTAGGCTGCCATCAATGCATCTGCAGCCTTATCAGCCTCACGCTGGCTCTCTTGTGAAAAGAAAGGCAGGGCTGGGTTTCTGCTGGATTTCTCTCCTTCCCCTCCCCTCTTTGGAAATTTTTTTTTTTTGGGGGGGAGGGAGGAGAAGAGAGGTGATAATGATAAAGTCACATGAAAAGAAAATGAAACACTTGGCAGTCCGTCAGATGACTAATGCAAGATGCTGAAGGATGAATTTGCAGAGTGCGCGAGGCATCCATGTGTGCATCAAATTAGTACGTTTTTGCTGCTCAGAATGGAAAGTGCTCCAGCAATGCGGCTGGCTGCAGCCGATTGGCTGCTTATGCTGGAGAAGAGGGCCATGGCGGGGAGGGGGGCTCCCGTTTAAAAAAGCACATTGTTTATGGGACCCAGGCACAAAGGGTTTAATTCAGGGAGGCAAAGGCGATCTCAGAATTGCCTGCTTTGTGCCGGGAAAAAAAAAATGTAGCCGCAGAAAGTTGAGTTCCCGCTAAAGGACACTGAATATTTCAAATCTTTCACACTCCATAAATTGCTCTCTGTGTGTCTGACTTCCAGATGTTGCACTTGAGTTCTAAACAATCACACGTTTGGAAGAGAGAAGAGGGAAATCTGCCTTTTCTTCTCCTAGCTTCAGTAAATACTTGGGGATGATACAAAAAGCAAGAACATAAGCCTTTGCATATCCATCTTCCTTAAGACTTAAAAAGCCCCCATTTGGAAGAGAGCCTGCAATTCTAGTCCCCATCATGAAACACGATAATGAGGGTGTTCAGTTTTTAATTGAGATTCTCCCCATTTGACCTTCAGTAAATAATAAAGCAAAATCACATATCCTCTTTGTCTTCCATCTTCTGAATGCTCCCTAAACCCACCTACTCTGCCAAGAGGCAGGGCTGACTGCCCTGAGCAGCATTCGTTTGCAGAGCTGTGCTCTTGGTTTAGCATCTCAGCCCGTGAAAATAAAATGCACCTAAATAAGGTCACACCTGGCAGACAAAACACCTACAGAGTCCGGTCCATGATCACCCTGGAGCCCCTAGCCCAAGAGGCAGAAAGGTTAAAAAAAGGGCCCACATCAACTAAAACCTTACTGCCACTGGCAGGTGTCATTTCAATGTAGTCTTGGGGTTAGAATAATAAGGTATTCAGAATGATGGCAAATACCCTTCACTAGGGCCTGGCTTTAATTTCTACTTGTTCCGTTCACCCTATTTTACCACTCTATTTTTTTTTTCCCTCCGTGAGATAAACAATCAAACTGTGTAGCTTGAAACACTTTCAGAGGTTTTTCCTCTAATCAACCTTATTGTTATAAACCATGTTCTGCTAAATAAAATATTGAGCACAAAATCTTCTTGCAACAATTTAGGTGTAACGGTGTAACATAATGCTTGTTTATATTACAGACCAATCGTTTATCTTCTTGTTCCCGTGCACCTTTACTTCTTTTCAAATCACCCTTCGAGAATTCAATCAACACTTTTACCCCACAGAGCTAACTCTGGTGGGGTGGAGGTGACAGAGTCCTACCCAGCACGGGATGTAGTGTTCACAACTCCGTGAGAGCTTAGAGTGTGGCAAGACTCGTTTCTGGGGCAGGAAGGACTTGTGGTTAGTGCTGTTGACAATGAGCCAGAATGAAAAGAGGAAGGCATTGCCACAGGTCTCAGCTAACAGAGAACGGAAGTTCCAAAATGGGGCTGTTGCATTTTGTCTGCACAGAGCAGTTAGTACAACGAAGGAGCTAGGAGAGAGTATACCAGTCCCAGTATCTAAACTTAGAATTCTAGAGCATGCCATTCTGTAATCTCTCTCCAAATGAGAGGGCATTTTTACTTTCTCAAAAAATGCACCCATAGTGGTGTATATAAAGGAGGAGAAATGGAGGATATCCCTTAAGCCTTTAGTCTTTATGTTGCCGGTCTCCATATTTATAACCCCCTTTCCATTAGCCATACTTCAGAAATGCCTGAAGATTTCTTATTGCCCTGAGGCAGTGGGGTGTTGGCGCTCATGGCATGGGCTCTGAATCATGGCACCACCGCTTCCTAACTGTGCGACTCTGGGCTCAGACCTCTCGTCTGTACAATGGGAATAGGGACTTCATCTCCTGCAGTCATGTGCTTCGTACAGGAAATGGCCCAGAGTAAGTGCCTAGTAAGTGTTAGCTATTTCTATTTTTAATCTCTTCTTTGCAGTTGTGACACACTTGAAATGTCTACTTTTCATTCCAAATTTTCTCATAGAATAGGCTCAAACATAACTCATCTCCTAAATAATAAGTACCTTTTAATGAGCATTTATAAGCTAGATACTTATAATGAGCACTTATAAGCTAGTATGCTAGCTACTTTACATACATTATTTCTAACCCTCATAATAACTGTAGTGAAAGTATTATTTTCAGATGCAAATATCTAAGAAATAAGTTCCTTTCCTAAAATTACCAGCTCATAAATTATAGAAGCAGAATTCAAACCTAGGCCCAAAGCACAAAATATTCCTAATCCATCATGTTGCCAAATATTACATCAGGTCTGCCTTTGACTGAGCGTGTACACCTCACAGCAAGCCTATGAGAAGACAAGGCCAAGAGCAAAACACACTGGGTCCCTGGAACCCCAGTGCCAAATTAAAGGTACCACTGCAAGAAAGACACACACCTGTCCTCTTTCTATCAGTGAGACACGCTGAACTGAAGGGTCTGTTAGGAGTACTTTACAGCCCACGTTTCCTCACTAATCACATAGCTGTCTCCACCTTCACAAATACCTCTTCCTCTCTATTCCCAGTCACCTCAGAGTGCCTCTCATCCACATCTAAATCCCTTCCTAACTACTTGCATTTTGCAAACAACCATCCCAAATATTTGCATCATATTTGCATAACAATGTGTTCCTTAAGTAAATCCAAGGACCTCTAGCTATTATACAAATTCAACAATGGCTACAACAGTACAATAAATTCAACAATGGCTACAACAGTACAACTTCCTCAAGGAAAGCTTCCCTACAGGACAGCTGGTCCCCCTCCCCTCCCTCCCCATCCATGTGATGCTAAATCCTATCCCCCCCCCCCCCCCCCCCTTCGTATTGCAACAGCCTAGTTAACTGATCTAATGCACACAAATTCCTCCTTTGGACTCCCAACTTTCTGCCTGGCTGAGGCTCATTTCTAGCAGAGACTTGACTTCTTTTGTCCTCACGGGGCTGTCAGCACTGACACTTTTAAGTAAGCCAAAAACTGTGTCCCACAATTAAACCTTTGGGGGTACTTGCCAGAGACCATGAAGAGCCAATGTACTATTCAGAGGAATAATTATGGGAATAAATACCCCAAATTTCAGCAAGACTCTCAGTAAGATTGAGAGGGCAGGGCGGGGTACTAGAATCTGATATCATGCTTAGAAAACTAGACTAGCTCTCTTCTCTGCATTCCCCAGACCTCCTCAGCACCCACTACAGTACTGGAATTAATTCAAATTCAAATAATATTTATTGAGGGCCTACTCTTTTCTAGAAACCTTTGCCAGGTGTTTGACATCCAGTATCAGGACAGCTCTAGGAAGTTGAAATCGTTATCCCCATTTTGGAAATAAAGTAATTAAGAGCCGCCATGGAGGTAAAGTGACTTTTCCTATGTCACCCCCCTTAGAAGCGGTGCCTGCAGAATCTGGACACACGAAGATGTGAAGGCCAACTGTCATTGTTCAATATTCCATAAACTGGTTCCTCTCGGGCAAACTCATTAGTCAACAGAGCCAAATATCAACAGTACAACGATTGAAATTTCTTTGGAGAGCCAACTTTTTTAAACTTAACCTTCTTTTAATGCCACTTCTTCAAAATAGACTTGCCCAGGCCATGGTATTTTGAGGAAGAGCCACACTCAATGGGCCAAAGAGCTGCAGTTTGCCAACCACTGCTCTAGGGGGATGTTTCCTATGGACTCAGTGGCCATGTGCAGGCCCTAGGAACAGGCACATACATCTCTGCTGGCACCAAACCTACAAACTGCAACAAGATCCCAAGTGCCAATTACACTTATGCTCTTGGCAAAAAGCCAACTATAAGGCTCCTCCCAGACAGATGCCATATGGAACCAGAACACAAGTTAGAGAGCACTAAGCCAGGGGGCACTGGTGCTATCATTCTCAGAGCCAAGAGGGAAATATAACGGTGTTTGGGGTGGAAAAATGAGAGTGCTTACTTTCTGCTTTCAGCACAGGCATTGACCTACTTCCCTACTCCATCGTGGAGTAAAGAAAAGTATATCAGCAGAAGATATGCAAAATGCTTGGAGGTTCCTCTAAGCGGTAAAATGTTAAAATTATAATAACTGATTAAAATTAATGCATTATTATTATTAATTATTATTATTTCCAGGACAGCAAGTTTTTATAAGGCCCAGAGAATTGCACGTTTTCTTTTGGAGAATGGAAACAAAGGAATTGATATTTTTGTTCTTTTTTGAGTTCCTTGGATAGCAACTTTCTCATCACATCTCCTTTATTTACATAAAAGGAAGGACAACAAACTTACAAAAGAGGTATGAGAAATGCCAAGTAGC